AGGTACAGTAACGCTCAGTAAACTGTCATAGGTAGCTTGAAATTAAAGAATTAGAAGGAATCTTTTATCTTTTCTGGGTCATTTGAACATAGGGTCTCATGGTTTGCCAATAAGAGAGGAAGAGACCTTTAGTTATTATCCTCAAAGAATTAGGCTGTCTTTCCTAAAATTCGAGATGTCATTGTGTGTGTCAGGAATGAGACTGCTCCTTAACACCAGTTTAGTCACAAAGGCATTTAATAAGTATTTTAGCATTAAAGATCTATTATTTCTAACAATGATATATTTTCCTCATAATGTAAATTAGTACTAAAAAGAGGAAGACAAAACACAAGGACATCAAGGTTTAAGAACAAGTAGTGATGAAAATAAAAATAGATCGCCCTCAGCATGTCCCTTAGTATTCTTCATTTTCCCTCTCCCACTTTTGGACAGGACTGACATTTTTGACATAATCTCTATCTGGAATAAAAAAAATGGGGGTAAGAGACATCATATTAATTTTAAGTATGTTCCAGTAAAATTTGGGCTTATAGTTTTGCTTTCTTTGGGCTGGTGAAAGCTGCCGTAGTTCATGACAAGTCAGAATGGAGCACAGATTTTCTTCTTTTCCGACCAATATCTCTATGGTTGAACGGCTTTATGAACAAAAAGGTTATGCATGCCTTGAGGGCTGTGAAATATGTGTGTGCCTGTGAAAGAGAGAGTATTTAAATCACATGAAAACAAGGATGTAGGAAAGAGGTTTGATTAGAAGAGAGGGACAAATCTCTGAGTTCTGTAATATTTTCTTAAATTGTATTAACTCTTTCAAATTTACTATTTTACACATGATTTTTCAACCCTAAAAGTAAATTCTGGAAACCCATTACATATATTTAGTTTGTAGATTTTCAAAAGTATCTACTTGTCAGAATGATTCTTTTGAACACTTTGTAACCATCAGTAAAATTTGAAATGACTGATATTTAGGAAGCAACCACCATGCTGATAGCAGGTTGGCTTTCAGAAGTTATTCTAAATCAGTAATTCTATTTGGCACACAAGACAAAGAAAAAAAGGAACTAAGATTATAGCTATAAAGATTGTACATTTTCTTGCCAAAAGGCTCCAGGAAGAGTAAGAAACAGATTTGGTAATGATCTTGACTCTCCATGTGACTTTCTTTTAACAAAGCATATTGGTCCTGAGCCAAAAGTAGAAACTCAGATACTAGTATGTATGTGCTTCTTCGGTCAAATTCCAGTTCTCACATCAGACTATATAATACATGGTTTTTATAGAAATAATAACACCACTGAATACAGCAAGTATTTAAAATAGATTATTGAAATTATTTTGGAACTGGCTGCTTAGAAATGGAACCTATTTTTGGTAAAGTGTAATTTGGTCTTAGTGCATCTCAAGACAGATATTTCAATCCTTTTATGTACTGTTTTATGTGGTCTCTGAGGGTCATAGAAACAGTACGAAATTGTATTTATAAGATAGATGACTATGACCAAATGAAAACAAGCATTTTTAGCAAATTTCAGGTCTTCATAAACTATTGAAAAAGACCCTGACTGTTTACAAAGGCTGGAGCAATAGCATAGCGGGTAGGACGTTTGCCTTGCACGCAGCCAACATGGCCAACCCGAGTTCGGTTCCTCCGCCCCTCTCAGAGAGCCTGGCAAGCTACTAAGAGTATCTCGCTCGCATGGCAGAGCCTGGCAAGCTACCCGTGGCGTATATGATATGCCAAACACAGTAACAAAAAGTCTCACGAAGGAGATGTTACTGGGCCTGCTCGAGCAAATCGATGAACAACGGGAGAACCGTGACCATTTACAAAGCATCACTAATCAAGAGGGAAAAAAGGAAGTTTTCTCCAATTTTACAAAAATAGTTGTTTAGTTTTACCAATTCGCTAAGAATAATTGTGGCCTTGTCATAATACATGTTAACTTACTTAACCTAATTTAATAATTTGTAAAGTACATACAAACCAAGCTACTCAAAATATAAAGACAGTTTCATATATCATTTGAAACACAGCCTCATTAGAAGATGCCGCTGTTGAGTTTGGCCATAACCAGACAAAACAAGGGATGGTCCAATTATCCTGTCTATTGCCTTCATTTGTGGTAGAATTGGTGGCCCTTAGTACTGAAGTTCAATGAGGTTCTCATGTGTTGGCACAGAGACCACAAGAGGAACTATTTTCAATTTGTTTTGCATGACAAAATATATGAGAGTTGTGGCCGTAATTTAGAACTTAGATTCTTTCCATTTTAATAAAGACAGAATTTTATTCTTTCTGACTATAATAAGATATTACAGGATCTGGGCTGGATAAATTGTTCATCTACAAGGAAAATTTTGTGTACATGAGATCTGAGTTTAACCCTGATACCATAAAAATAAATAAACAGATAAAATATTAGAGCAACTACGAGGAACTAAAGATTGCACCTTACACTATTTAAAAAACAGTCTTGTGAAAATCTTGCAGTTGCTATAATAACCATTGAACATTCCACCTCATGTAAATGATGAACTTCGTTATTCTATATAAAGTAATAATGTTAATTTATTAGCATTGTATCTATCCTTATTCACAGCATGTTTTCTTCATCCCCAGTTCTTCTGGAGTCTTTTCATTTGTAGAGAGATCAAGATTTTTTTTTTTACTTTTAAGGTCTGGGTTTACCATTAGCTTCCAGGATATTCTTTGAAGGGGGCATAGTGGAATTATAAATAGCATTAAACTGTCATCCTAGGAAACCTCAGCTGTATCTAGTGCTGTTTACAAATAACCCATAAAATTCAAGAGAGAAATATTAGCTTCACTGTTCCAGAGGAACTTACGGGAAAGCCAGACTAAAGGAAATCTTTAATCTGAAAGAAGACAATGTCCATCATCAAAGTATACAAGAAAAAAGATGACAGCCCCATTAAGCTCGATGACAACCACTCAATGTGTAGATGAGATGAGAAATTAAACTATCCAAAATTTGTAGCCAGGAGTGTAACTGCTACCCATTTCTAAAGAATTCTATGTATGAAAACCTTCACAATTCTATGTGTAATACATTGCAGGTGACATTTTGGAAATCAACAGATCTTGTCAAAATTCTATGTTATAAGTTTCAGAGGTGATAAATTATGTGTAAAAAGATCTAAACAGGGTTGTGTATGCTACTTCTATAGAAATAAATGTACACATAAACTAATTTCACCAATTTGTAGGCATAAAATAGTGTAATAAGAAAGAAATTGGGTCTTAAATTAATCAACTGCTTTTGTCAAATATGAGTACTGTTAAAACAATGACAGTTTCTAACAACTGGATTGACTGGATTTAAACCAACTTCTTCTTTAAATGGACTTATTTTTCTTACTCAAACTAAATGTTTTTTATATTTATATTCAAAAACAAGGAAGTATCTGCAATAAATTCAAACAATATGTTTCTGAAATGCAAATACTCTTTTTTATACTTGTAAATAAAGGATACACGTATATAATTTAGATACAAATATAGTAGAAACTACTAAAATAAGTTATGTGTGATAAAATAATTGTTCACTGGTTGAAATTTTGTTTCATTAAACCATGAAATCAAGTCAACATTTTTTCTACTGAGCTACGAAAAGATTTATTTTACTCACTGTAAAGGGTAATCATTTACATATCCAGATGAATAAGTGTTGATATCACCACTCATACCCAAATAGACCAAAATATATAGCTTGCATGCCAAATTTAAGTGTAGAAACTAACACAAGTGCTCTATTCTAATGCTGACATAGAACTAACCATGGAAAATGTATACTTTTCATTTTGTTTTAAAAAATACTTAAAATTCTATTTTAAAATGAAGAAGAAGGGGAGACTGTGAGATGCAAACATTTGTTTTCACAACTTTGGACTACAGAAACGTTGGGATAATTTCCTTATATAGTAAACTTTTAGCAGAATGAGAGCTCAGATCTTTTCTAGGTCAGAAAGACAGTTGTAATGAGGATATCTACAATGTTGCAAAGGGCATCTTGAAATAGGAACGAGGTCATCTTTGGAATTTGTCCCAGGAGAAATTATGCAAAGATGGTAAAGGATAGGTGAATTTTTCACTTCTGATATTACTCATTCATAAACTGCATGAAACAGTATTTGAAATGGGGTGATTAGGGATTGTCTTACAGCAAGTTTATACAGCACACCTCTCAAATGTCCTTTTGGAATTTGAAATGCACACAGATGGCCAAAAGTTAAATTCATTTTCCTTGTGAAGTCAAAAATGTACCCGGTTGACACATGCAAGAAAGAACCAATAAAGTAGTACTCTCTCTGGATACCACCAAATACTGTAAAGATAGATTAGTGTAAGGAATTGCAAGAAACACCGTATTGACCTCGGCTTAAATAACAAATAGAGTTTTCCAAACCTTTTCTTGAGCTGCAAAGAAAAAACAAAACTACGCATTGTTTCCTGGAGGCATGCAGTTTCACTATGGCAAAGTGCAACTGGGCGTGCATTACATGGGAGGTCTGGGCCTGCTTTGGCGAACTAAATGAGCATTCTTGGAGCGCAATGCAGAAGCTGGATGGAGAGGAGGAGAGTTCGAGAATTTGGAGCAATCTTCTCATGAAATCATTTTAGAAGTGCCATTCCTGCTGCTTCAGGAATTCAAGGTGATGGGAACAGATTTGGGCCAGATGTTGGCTACAGGAGCGAGCAACTTTAGCAGCCAAAATGGGGTGGTGTAATGACACCCGATGAAACCGGTTCAGCTTTTAGAAGCAGGAAGACGCCGCACGCTGTGTCAGAAGATGACTGTGTTATACAGTGTCCCATCTGAGACTGCATAACACATTCACCAGCAAGCCAGGGGGCCTCCTAACAATGTCAGGGGCCGAACAACACACAGCACACCAGAGGGCAATGCACAATCCAAAAGAAAGAGAAAGAAAGAAGGAAAGAAAACAAGCAAAACACGCGTCTGTCGTGCACAAACCTTCGGGTTCTGTGTTCTCTTTGTGGTGTACTTGCTTCAGCGGGCAGCAGAAGATTTCGTGACACTTAGCACGAAAGGGGGACTCTTTTTTCTTTAATTCCGCAGATTGGATGGAATCTTGTCGTAACATAATGTATTCCTGTGTGCCAGGGGGGGCGTCATCCAGAACTGCGGTCACCACATAACAAAATGAACTCAAGTTAGAGCTTCAGGAAAGCAGGAAGGTCTTAAATCAAATCTACTCCCAGGAAAGACTAAAGAAACAACATTCTTAAGGAAGTTTTCACAAAGAAACATAAAAAAGCTCTGTGACTTTTTAAGAACTCAATGTAAAATAATGAAGCCCTGGGAATAGCTTACTCAAATATATAGTTAGAACAAATAAATTTAAGTTTTAAATTGACAGAAGAGCGATTACCTATTTTAATACCAATAACCAAACTGTAAATAAACAACAGGTAGACCTCACATATTTTCGCTGAGGTACAATATACATATTTACTTCTGACAATGGCCAATTTAAACAAATTAGCAGTGCGTTAGTTAATGTTTATTTCTTGGTCTGCACTTTGGTGAGAACTTGACTTTTTTGTAGTATATACTAACAATCATGGCACAGCTCTTTCCTTCTTGATTCTCACAGATAACTAGGACTGTTGGAAATATTCTTCAGATATTGAAAAAGTCGTAATTTTTAAAAAAAAATACAGTTCAGAGCCTAATAACCAAAACTGGATCAACATTACCTTGCTGGATTGTGGAAGAACAGCGTCACTAATTTTGACCTTAGAGGTAAACTAAAACCCTTGCAGCTAACATTTTTATTTCTAGATTTGTTCTGCATTTCCTAAGCAAGAGTGTGAATTTATAGTATTTCCTTCCTCCAAAATCAAAATATCTGCTTTTACAGGGCCTACTACAACATTCTTTAATCTGATAACAACCCATCAAAGTGAGTACAAATTTCATCTACATTTGCATAAACAGGAAACTAATTCCATAATGGATTTTTTTTTCTCTTTTACACCCTTCCCAGTGAGGCCATTCCATTTTGCCTGGAGTGAGTCAGTGCCTCTAAAGCTATGATTAATGATGTGCTGACTCATTCGATTCCCCCAAATACATACACTTAACATGCATTTAGGGGGAGTGTAACCACCAGCAAGATTCTTATAGGAAGAATAATACTGTGGTGTTTATAAAATTGAAATAGTTTATGGCTGAAATTGAATGGGAACAGAAGCTTCTTGATTTGGCAAAACATTACGAGCTCTTTGGGATCTTAATAACTTTAAGAACTTATTTTCATGTATAAGATGAAGGGAGCAAAAATCAACATAAATTTTTTGGGGTTATTGCTGTTCTTAGGACCCCCTCCTGGTTCTATGCTCAGGGATCACTTCTGTGGGGCTTAAGACCATGTGAAATCCCGAGGATCAAATTTGGAACAGCTATGCATAAGGTAAGTGTCCTACACACTGTACTATCGCTCCAGTCACCACCATAACTTTTAAGTTATGAGTTTAGAACAAGTTCCTGAAATAGTGCTTGAATATGGAATTGGTATCTCCCTTATAAGTCATTCGATTATGCAAGAAGGTGAAGAATATTTTAGTCAGTTCTCTTTCTATTTTCCACTATTGCTCAGTAGCAATAATCAGAAATATTATATAGACACAGAATCACAGCTTTTTCTGGCAGAGAATTCCCTTCATCTACTGGGAATGTGACTAACTTCTTATATTCTCATTTTCAATGCATATTATCACTGGCAACAACTGTTATTCAAAACATTTACAACCATATCTTGCCACGAGGAGAAAGTTATGGAATGATAATCAAATTCCAGCATCACAGCTGCAGAAAAATTCTTATTTTACTATCCAAAATATTCAAATAATATTCCTCAAACTTGGAACTCCTACAAATATGAAACGAAACATCCAGGATTCTATGGAAGCCAAGAAATCCCATTTTCTTGCACTATATATAAAAACATATTTTAAGATTAAAGAAATTGGAAAAAATAGTAATAACCAAGTTTTTGATAATACATAGGGAGCTATAAATTCAGAATTACAGATAAAAATCAGTAAATTTTTTCCCATTTTCATTTTTCAAAAGCAACAATGCTGTCACAAAAGGGCATTTTTTGGAAATTAATAGCTGACTGAAGCGAATAGCCTTTGGCTGACTCTCCAGCCATCAGCTTTTCCCAGCTGGTCATTAATTCCCAGAAAATGCCTTGCACTGCCATCATTATTGTTTAATTAGATACAACTGGTTATCTGTAACATACAACAAAATTCTAGTGAAAGTGACATGCTGACTGATACAAGAACCAGCCCCAAAATTCATCATAATAGGGAAGCATGAAGGTCACGAAAGTGCAGGATAATTGCTTTCCACAAAATTCTCTCTCCTGTTCTTTCTTCAAATCAAATTTAAAAAGCAAGTTCAAAAGGTGCCAAAATGAGAGCATTTAAAGGGCCATCTGAGTAATAACCACAGGCACAGAACATTTCCTTGGAAATCGTGAACATCTGGGAGTTAATGGCTTGGCTTTAGGTCTAAAACTGTCCCTACTCAATGCTCCAAACATCCATTAATTGAGACAAAACAAGAAAAAATAAATAATAGCTTAGTTTCATGTTGACACAGACAGAGATATAAACATATGTAGTTTGTAAAGGATGTTGCATGTAGGCAATGCTTCAGTTGGGTTTAGAACATTATGAAGAAAAACTAAAAGTTTATATCAAATTTATTCATAGGTCTTCCTTAAGTGGGACTATGGCATGTGTACAAATACAGCAACAAAAATAACAGGAAACTTACTACTGGACTCCTTTCTACTTCTTTATATAGTGATACATGGGCCTGAGCAATTGTATAACAGGTAGGGTGGCTGATGGTTCCTGAGCACCATCAGGAGTGATCCCTGAGCACAGAGCCAGAAGGTAGCCCTGAGAACTACTCAGTATGGGACCAAAATAAAACAAACAAAAAATAGTGATGGGATATTTCTAAAGGAGAGTAACTCTGAGATGGAGCGAGGATTCTTTAAAAGAAATCAGGTCATTGGGGAAAAAAATATCATACTCCTTTTAGGGAGCACACCAGAAGTGCTCAGACGCTATCCCAGATCTGGGCTCAGCAGTCATACCTGGAGGGGGCTTATTTCCCATATATAAAGGATGCACTCCAGCACATCGATTTATCTCTCTGGTTCAAGAATGGAACTATTGTATCCAAGTTTAATCCAATAATTTCTGACATTTTCTCCTTTCTAGTGCACTGTCTTCTTATACATGACCTCTATTCTCTGAAAACCATTCCTCCCCTTATTCACAAGAATTCTTTTCAACATATGTTCAATGACCCCCACTGCTCTTCCCAGTAAGAGTTTAATCTAAAGTTGGAAGTGGACAAAAGACACCAATAGGCAATTGATTTACACAAAATCTCTCCAAGTTCCAGAGGTTCACCTTGACTGCTCAAGTCAGCTAAAGAAAATAAGAATGGTTCTTGATTGGTTTCTGGACTGTAAGACCCCATGCTTTGAGAAAGGCTACTGAGTTCCATGACAATTGCCAAGGAATAGATTTCTGCCAGAAAAGTCTGCCCACTTAGCCATGGACTTTGGCATGAGTCACACAGATCACCTACTTATGATTCCAAAGTCCCGCAAGTGTGGTCGCTAGTTGGAAGAGACAAGTGCACACATGCCAATCCACACATCCACAAACATACAGACACGACGGGTGGCATACTCAGACACAGAGGTGACAAGAATAAGGACTTTACTGGTGGGATGATAGCTATAACACATTCTTTGAAATAGCTCAAATAAAAGGCATTCTAGTCAATAAACATCTGAGTCTGGAATGAGTTTCCAAGCTACAAAACTGGAAAACCAGTCTGGCACTAAACCACCCCTTACTCTCCTCTAGACCCTTCAGCAGTTATCACGTTTGGGGGCAGGGATGAGGGAAGATGGTACAGAAGAAAGTTGAAGTCTAAATATGATGAACAGGCCAAAACTGTTCATGTTCACATAAATGTAGTATTATTATTAAAAAACAGACATAAAGAAAGCACCAATCTAAATAAAAACTCAAGTTTGATAAATTGTATCATTAAAATATTTTTTTTTATTTTGAGAGATTTGCTTGTTTTTTGGGGGGGCACGCTTGGTGGTGCTCAGGGTTTACTTCTGGCTTTATGCTCAGGTATTACCACTTGGGGTCCTCAGTGGGCCATATGATGTGCCAGGGATTGGACTGGGGTTGGCAATGTGCAAGGTATAAGCCTTAACTCCTACACTATATCCCCAGCTCTAAAATGTGATTTCATTAAAGATATTTACAATGAGAGGTTATCATGTTTGATCGTTTATCTACTTTCTGCACACATCTCCCATCCCGACTGGTTCCACAAGCCATAATATTCTTAGTGATCCCTTCTCTATTCCAGTTGCCTTCTCCCCTTTGCTCATGAGGCAGGCTTCCAGCTATGGAGCAATCTTCCTGTTGGGTGTTAAAAAAAGATATGTACGATGACATTCTTTTATTTGTTTAGTAAACCTAGTTATTGTTTTACTTATAACTTTTATCAGTAAATATAACATTGTTTATATCAAACAGCTACTCAGATATTTAGTACCATCACAAAATATTGTGGTGCAGTCTCCATGTTATTCTAAGTAGAATTTCTCTAGCTAAAAGTTAGGGCAACCCTTCCATTTTAAAACAATGTTCTTCAATCTTTTCAGACTGACAGACCAACAACCATCCTACATTCTGGTTAAAGGCAACAGTTCGAACCAAGGTAATAAACCTGTCGTTTTTAAACCTTTCCACATCTGCAGATTGACACAGATCCATGGACAGTGGTTGAAGACCACTGCCTTAAAGCATAAGGAAATTAAGGATCAGGAATAGGAAATGACTTGGCAACACACACAGTTATTGCAAATGCTCAACCTAGAAACCATGATGCCAATGCTAGCACTGTAAAGTTATTGTACACAAACATCAACATTCATATATAAATAGCATGAACTACGTTTTTCAGTATTTTTTACCCTCAAAGATTACCTCATCACCAAATTTTTTTCTTTCTTAACCAAAGCATAAACAAAACTTGTGATAGCCAAGAAAAAGTAA